CTACGAGCAAAGATCAATTCATTTAATGTGAGTATCATAATCAAAAATACGTTTAGTGATCGAATATTTTTTTTGTTTCTTTAAGAATGAGTACGGAAAACAGCCAACCGGGTCATATTCCGTCAGAACTATTGAATACACTCAATGTAAGCCAATCTAATATTGATCAACTATTATCGGTCGGAATCGTAACTACAAGTCAGCTATCATTGACACAATTCAACTCGACAAATATGATTTCAGATATTCAACAACACGATCATGGAACCGGAACACAGGATGCGGGTCAAGAACAACGACATCAACAAACACAAGCGCGACGACAACCACAACAACAAGAAGAACGCCAACGTTTACGACAACAACAGCAACAAGAACAGTGCGAACGGCAACGTCAACGTCAAGAAAGAAACCAACGACGATACGAGCAATGGCAAGAACGCGTAGCTCAACGACAACAGGAACGATATCGACAAGAACGAGAACAACACGAGCACTATGCATACTTGCAGCGACGCTCGCCTAACTTTGACGAACTGATGGATGAGATACTCGGAGAACGAGAGCTGGAAGAGTACTATTTAGAAAGAATGACTCCACAAGACAGACAGGAAGTTTGGGAACAAGAACATTTAAACGAACTACAAGGAAATCCTGCACCTCGAGCGCACGGATTACCACTAGACGATACAGAACGGTATGCAAAATTCCTTCAGGACCAACTGTGGTGGGATCAACACGATCAAGCAATGCAAGTCTACGACATGCAAAACAACGACTATGCACAACAATGCAGAAGAAACCAGGAATTACTTCGACAAAAAGAAGAGTGGGAAGACCTGGCATTTCGTCATCAACACTTATAAAAAAAAACAGCTCAAAATCCAATAATCTCATAATACCCCACTGATTTTCCCGCCTAAATGAAATACTAAAAAATAATAAAGCTTTTCCAAAATAAAGTACCTCAAATTCCCCTGAACAATTAACGTCTTTTCATTGCTTCTATTTCAGATAATCTCTTCACATCCATAAGTACAAAATGCTGTACAAATGCACTATTTCGACAAAAAAAAACACCACTAAGATAAACAAACAATGTCACCACTATTTACAGCTCACACAATCAAATTATTCATCATTCTATTCCAAAACGAAACAATGAAAAAACCATCTCGACTATTCGCATTCTGTTTCAACAAAACATCCAATTTCATAACGGTGAGTAACACACAAATAGTCCAAATATCAGTCACGATCACCACTTTCTATTTAAGGTATCTCTATAATTCTATTTCTAACAATCAAATTAATTGTAGATACCCTGCACTGGAATAGACACCAGTCATCTAAAGAACAGTAAAAACTATAGGCGTCGAACATCTTCTACCTCATACTCAGAAAAACCGCAATCGAGAGATTTCAAACGACTTATATTCAAAATCTCATCTTCTTAAAGACTATGCAGTGCTAAAACTACCTGAAGATTTTGACCCTTGAGAAAGGTCGAAACTATAGTCGTAGTTTCTTTAAACATAATACACACCGTGTTATATTTAAGAAATCTCTGCTTTGCTTTATGTTTATAAACTAAACGTGAGAAGAATTCGTTCTTTTCAATTTAATCTATAAATTTATGCAGTGCTAAAACTACCTGAACATTTTGACCCCTGAGAAAGGTCGAAACCATAGTCATAGTTTCTTTAAACATAATACACAACTATATATTCTTGAATTTCTTGTGTTCTTGAATATAAATTAGCTGCGACCTATCTTATTTCTAAAACACTTTTTGGCTTTTGAAAAATTGTCCAAAAAGAATTTTTGCAAATAATTGTGATTCCCCTGCAATATATTGACGGTAGTTTACTGAAAGTTATTCTTAGATTTCATTGAACTGTCTCAAATTTGTAGGTTAGAATCGAATTGCAGCGCTTTAAAATTTAATAGCCAAACTTACCTGATGATGACCCTTAAGCAAGGTCGAAACCGGTAGTAAGTATTGCTTGTGCTATTAAATATATATTTCTTATATACACCCACACCCACACCCTTCCATATGCTACGCACAAACAAAATCAAAAAAATCAGGCCAATATTGTACTACGTTAAAAAAAACGATAACAAATAACCACTGGTAAGAAAAAAACCTTAATCAATAGAAAAACATTCCTACTCTAATACAATCTTTTCTTTCGTTTTAATTTATCTACACGAACCGTCACAGACAGATTGCACAAAGCATTTTGACAACTTTGTCCTCTTCTCTAATCCGTTGTATCTCCCGAACAAGAATCGTAAGTAAATTCGAAAAACTCTAGTTTTGTGGTAACTCTACACATCCATCTATTCTCTCATTTTCTGTTATCATTTTAAATTGTTTTATATTAACTGTAAGAATTATCAATCTATGTCGTATTGTCATGATCACTATTACTTTGATCGCAATTTAAAATTGCATTCTAGATTGAATTGATTATCTTTCAGATTATATTATTCATGGCAGAAGAACGAAAGCAAAATTCAACTTTCGATGAAATCGATAAATTACTTGCCGATGAAGAATTTTGTCGAGCAGTAGAAGCATTGAATGACGATGCAGGTAAATATGAAAACTGAAATGAAATTTATTGCAAAAATGTCTAATTATTTTCAATTCTCTAAACAAGACATTACTGTTCACTCATCAACACAGACGACACCGGATCCTTTAAATACTGCTTTTATTGAGGTACGACGTACTATTTGTTTACTCAAAATAGATGTAAAAATGAACATTTTTTTTTCTAATATAAAATAGGAGACCAACCTCAATGAACATCAACAAAGTAATTTATCTCAACAACAAAGTAGTTTATCTCAACAACAAAGTAATTTATCCGAACAACAAAGTAGTTTATCTGAACAACAAAAGAGTTTACCTCAACAACAAAGTAAAAATTATTTTTAAGAAAAATTTCATTATCTAATTATCGATTCAATAGGCCAAACTATAAATGATGCATCAGCCATCCTTCGTGAGTTGGCAGAGATAACGACTGAACATGAACATGAACGGATCGATCAACCTTTACCAACAACAACAGCAGCAGGAAACTTGGTCGAAATAGTTGATCTATCACCATCAACATCTCGTACGATCGATCTACGTACACCGACACCAACAACAATCGATCTTTCTACACCTGCACCAATTACGATCGATTTAGATTCACCTCAAATACCATCCAATACTAACACTACGGACTCACCACTTCATTTAAGTCCAAAATAATACTTTGTTTGTTTTTTTCTTTCCCGTTTTTTTGCCCCATACTCTATTATCCTCTTCCGATAACTTCTGATTTATTACATATCAAGTTATTCCCTTCGTTCAATTCATTTTTGTCCTTTTGTTCTAGATGATTAGTTACAATATATTTCATCATGTCTCATCATAATGATTCGATGAAAAACAAAGTAATGACGAAAATGTCAATGTGATCTATTCATACATTTATCATTTCATTTTTATTTTTGTATATTATAGTATGATGACTCGTCAGTGTCAACTCATCAGAGTCAACAAGTGGATACTAACATTTGAGTTCAATTGATAAAATAACAAAAGCAGAGATTTGGCGACATTCACTATCAAGAAATCAATCAATCTCTTGAACACACGACTACAATTAGTTGATTTAATCACCAAGAATTAAGGCGAATATCTATACTCATTTATCAAAATACAAAGATTTACAAGGCGAAAAATTGTTATCGACAACATGCTCCAAATTTGCCACTTGATAAGAATTCTTGTAAATTCGAAGTACTATTGTATTGTGGTAACTGTAACACACGACCAGATTATAGGTAAACAACTTACCTATAATGACATATTCGCCAATGCAATAAGACGTTCATATGACTCACTATCACACAAGTATTTGCCACTTGATAAGATTTTATTTGTAAAATCGAAATACTACATATTTAGTATTGTGGTTACTATTCACGCTCACATCCAAACTACTAATGAGTAGCGGGATACTTCTTGTGAGTATAATAAAATTAGATTTATTCTTATATTTCAATAACTACGATATTATTTCTTTGTTTTTTCCTTTGTTTCTAGTACCAAGCACAAGGAGTCACAGGAGAGAGTCATGTTTGTCAGTTTACATAGGTTTTCGATTATTTTTTAAAAATTACTTTCACAATAAATAAATAAATGAATAAATAAACAAATATATATATATATATATATATATATATATATCAGATATAATTTGTTTACTTCATAGGAATCCTAATTCAACTTTTGTTAAAAATATCTGTGATTTATTTTAGATATAAAATATCTTCTATTAAAAAAGACAACGTCTTCTTCTATTACTTCACGTGCATTGATTAACTTTGTAGTATTCAAGAAAATCGAATGGCTACTTTCAAACTTCAAACACCGTTATTACAACCTGCAAAAAAAATGAAAAAATCATGGCATTTCACAAATAATAGCATGTATCATAAGAACATCCAAAAGAGTCAATTATCTATTGATAACTGGAAGACTTCATCACGGATCCTAGCAAATTATAGAAAAATGTCTGACAATCTATTCATACATCGACTATCAAACAGTATTCCTAGTCAGTGTGCAGTGATCCAACGGTCATTAACGAATACTACAATGTTACATTTTATTCGCTGTCGTGCTCTACTCATGTGTACTTTATCAGAATTAAAAATCGAAGAAGATTATTGGAAACATGTTGCTGATGAAGCAATGCCTACTGTAAGATGGTTATCTCAAGCATCTAAAGATACAACGAAACGAAATTCCATTAACTGGGATTATCCTCGAACGGAACACAACATAAGACATCGACAAAGATTAATTTATAATAAGCTACAACAAGCAGAGGCGAACTTGAAGGTTCATTTACAACAAAGTCCTCCAAGTGCAGTAAAACAAAATGAAATATCTATTGACGAATCAATGAATATCATTGATCACGCTCTTACTAATCTCGTAAAGAAAGATCTTGAACAATGCGTGAATTATTTTGAACACAAGGAAACCATACTGAACTTCGATGTTAATGGAGTCAATCAGGTCAAATCATTCTATGAATATAGTCCAAACAAGGAACAGGTTTTCAACCAAACCTACGACCATATTTTTACTCTTTTTCTTTCCTTCTAGATTCTTTCTGTTCAGAAACTTTGGCGAATAACTGCCAAATCATACAAACGAGCAATTACTCTAAAAAGAAATTCTTCATTGTTAACTAAACAAACATTAAAAAAAAAAGGAATGATACAAAACAACTCGGCTCATGACCACATGAACGCAATTGGATTCGACTGCAATACTGGCCATTCTGATCAAAGTGTTTCAACAACTTTGCTTCAACCGTTTCTCGGTCCTATGCGCAATATTATTGAAGTTCGTCTTCTTAATATCAAACAACGAGCTGAACAAATTATGCTATTCATCAATACATCCTCTCACTAAAAACTGTCTGCTTTGCTTCAATATAAAACACAAAATCAAAATATTGTCCTTGTTCATCCATAATTTTGAATCCCAGCAGTGTTCATTATATGCTTTTCATTATCATAAAATTATTCTTTCAATCCATAATAAAACTCACATAGCTATTAGTTTCCTTTATTTCAGATACATATTAGATTCACACTTACCCGTGATTGACTTTACCAATCCTGGCCATTCTACGATCACCTAATTCTTACAAAAAACATCCACCCAGCCGATAGCAAAAAAAACATACATCCATGCAACAGCTGGCGAACATAAGCCACCACATCGAAACAATAATGATTAGAATTCGACCAACGCTTCATCCTTATCCCTCTACCACCATCCAATTCAACAAATTCAACCAAGCAGCTCACACATCAGTGTCGCCAAAATGAAATTAACTATCAACTGTTCGCTGTTACAATTTCTCACGTTTTTTCAAGTTGAATTCAATAGTATCCTATATATCGTATGCCTTCGAAAGTATGGATCATTGATATGAACATTTGCCACTTGACAAGTTTCTTTAGTAAACTTGAAAAACCATCGTTAGTTTTGTGGTAATTATTCACACACTTTAGATGTTTAAAAATTTCTGCTTTCGAGTAGAAACTTTCTATGAGCTGTCTCGAATTTGTAGATTAGGATTGAATTGCAGTATTGAAAACTTTGATAGCCGAACTTACCTGATAAGGACCCTTAAGCAAGGTCGAAACCGGTCGTAAGTAGCTTGTGCTATTAAATAAATCCTATACACACCTTTATATTCTGGAATTTTTCTGGTTCCTGAATATAAAATTAGCTGCGACTTCTTTTGTTTCTTAAGTTTTTAGTATTATTTCTTCTGAAATTTGCTAGAAATTTGGAAATAATTGTGATCCTTCTACAAAATATTGATCGACAGTTTAGAGAAGATTTTGTTCTTGAAACTTTCAATGAACTGTCTCAAATTTGTAGTCAGGATTGAATTGCAGTATTGAAAACTTTGATAGCCGAACTTACCTGATGAGGACCCTTAAGCAAGGTCGAAACCGGTCGTAAGTAGGGATGTGCAGTTTCGGTGAAAACAGTGAATTACTGACAGTATGCCACTGACACTGGTGTTCACTGAATCAGTACATACACTGACACTGGCGTTCACTGAATCAGTATACACACTGACACTGGTGTTCACTGAATCAGTACATACACTGACACTGGCGTTCACTGAATCAGTACATACGCTGACACTGGTGTTCACTGAATCAGTACATACACTGACACTGATTGCACTGGTTCCACTGTCTGCACCGACATTGGTGTTCACTGAACCAGTGCATACACTGACACTGACTGCACCGGTGTCAGGATTCACCGGAACAGCGATGCTCACTGAAGTATCAAGTCGCTGACTCTATCAAAGTATCCACTGCTAATGACTTTATTTATGACTGTCAATGAAATTAGCGAAATGGCCATACCTATTCCTCCAGAAAATAGGATTCATTTAAGTAATCTATAATTTTGAATAATAAAGCCAATTTCAACGAAATACGACACTTATAGTCCTAATATTGACACATAACTACGGGATTTTATGACTCAACCAGATTCATTTAAAGAAGATGAGCGTTTCTTAAAATTTATGTGGACTTTGTAAAACTATTTGTATCGTTACGATTACATAAATGTTTCGCTCTATTTACTCTTTTTTGTGAAACACGATCTGAAAGGAGTGTTGAAGTGTTTAAGGGTAGAAATTTGTACCCCCCTCCCCCCCCCCCCCCC